ATTTTTTAAAAACAAATATTATATTTCAAAGAATTTTAAAAAAATTAAAAATTAATTTAAAAATTTTGTTAACCATTAAGTTGCAAAGAATTTTTGTTATTTATGTCTTTTTCAGTCTTAAATACTTCTGAAAATAAATCAGAATGTACACAAGAAGTATACATAGAAAATCCGAGTCAAAATACTCATACAGGGACTATGAAAGCAACTTTGCATACGAAAACAGCAGGTAATTAAAAAGCTAAAATTAAAAAAAAATGTGTGTAAATTTTTATTATATTATATAATTCTTTACATCTAGTTTCAAATAGCACCCCATCTTCAAGCTTGACTCTTAGACTTTTCATAGAATTGAGACAATTCTCAGAACTTACAATTAGATGGACACCTGCATACTGTATCGCATAGCGCAAGTATCGCTATTGCATCGTCTACAAGCATCTATCAATAGTACAACGCTAGAAAACTGTCCATGCGCCTCGCTAAACGCATACATGAGTCATAAGTATATTCGTTGCTAGAGAGCATTGTGCGCAGTAGCGTCAAATGGTATAGGTGTGATTTCTAGTTATTGCCCACCATCAGGCTTTCGATATTCAAGTTAAAGGTCAGCCTATGCTATTTGATACAAGTGAGAAATAGAACATTGCATAGAATCTTATACTTTATACAGCTGCAAAAAAAATTTCTAAAAATTAGATAAAGAATTGCGTGGAAATCATATTAAGAAACTTTTTATATTGAGCATTATTCATACGTTTGAATAATAGCATTTTGTAAGCTTAAAATATTGAAAATATGAGGTTTTTATTGTAATAAAAATAGGTAATTGAATTTTGAATAATATTGCAAAAAGAAATAATTAATTTTGAAGAATTAGGGAGAAAACTAGTATAGATAGTTTTCGCTCTTGATCAACAACCACACGCGATTCCTCAGCATAGCCCTTCTGTAGCGGGAGGTCACCTTCGGTGATGAATCTACGCGCTATATCTATATTCAAATATCCATGCCTGTACGCACTATATCTATATACATTCGTCCGCTCGCGTCGAGTCATAGTATGCAGGCAGAGATATGCGTATATATAGATATAGATATAGAAACATGTAATGATATATATGAGTCAATGCTTTAATATAATATTAGAAATAATTATAATTTTAGATTATCAATGATGAAAAGATGAAGAATTAAGATTTGTTTACAATTATTTTTACTACTTATTATATGTCTATATAAATGAAATATATTTTTAAAATTTTTGTTACTGGGATGTAACTCCAAAAACCCCCGAGTAACAAATTTTACTACCTCCACAGCACTGAAACTTTCCTAAAGATTTATTTAAAATATTCCAAACATTTCAAATAAATCTTTAGGAAAGTTTCGGTGCTCTGGGGGCAACTTAGGTCCAATTTTAGGATTTTGGCCGCCATTTTGAATTTTTGAAACTTGACATCGGGTCCGTAATCAGCAACCAAAAAAAGACCAAAGTAGTAACTTTTATGAGCTTACCTAATTTTTTGCGCTATGTATGGTATAATTTGTTCATTTAGAAGCTTAGATATATTTTAAGGTATTTTTTGAGGTTAGTGCGAAACGAGGACCCATTGGCCAAATTCTGATGGTGAATTAGGATTCAGCGCATCAAAATACATAGGAGTATACATGTCTCTATCCTAGATCAAGACACTTTTTTTGTGTGGCTGTGTAATTTAATGATTGAAGAATAACCAATGTGTAAAAATAATTTGATATAATCTTGTTCGTTTTCTTTATATTTCAACTTTCACACAATCTTTTCGAAACAATTGAGACGTCGCAAGGTCCGAGAGAACGTGCCTGAACCACGTTTTTCGCCGGATGCCGGTAACCGTAAAGAGAGGTGAGCTAACTTGAGTTGCGTTGCGCGCGGGCGAACTCAGTTAAGGTTAGATCACAGCGCGAAAAATATTTAAATTCAAATTTTACGCTATGACTATAAAATATTAATAATATAATATATAATAAGTGCTTTACCTAAAAAATTATAATAATAATTAGAAACAAAGAAAAATTAATTAAATCAAAATGTATGAAAAAAATATATGAGGCAAAATTCCTGAAGTGATCCAACTTTAAAATTGAATGTTTTCGGATCGGGCTGAAATTTGCAAAATCTACTTATCCAAAATACTTCATATAGGGTTCGTTAGATGCGGAATTACCTGAACTTTCAATTGGTAAGTTAAGAATTACCATAACTTTATTTGTTTGTAAAATATTTTATTTTTTCCTAACAAGAAGCATCCAAAATCCCTATATGAATTATTTTGGTTTAATTCTAGTTAAATAACAATAAAAAATGAAATATCTTACAAACAAATAAAGTTATTGTAAATCTGAACTTTCCAATTGAAGGTTAAGATAATTCCGCATTTAACAAGCCCTATATGAACTATTTTGGATAAGTAGATTGTTAATAAACAATTAGTTAACATTCCAATTTTTTATAAACAATCTACTTATTCAAAATACTTCACAGAAAAAGCTAATAAAATCATAATTTTCATACTGCTCTTGTGAAATAAAAAATCATTTAAGAGCTTAAAAGATCAAGTTCGACTTGTTACTGTGGTAACTTTTTTCGACTTTCATGAGCATATTTTTTCAGCGTAAGAGGAAATCATCTAAAACTCATGATAAATGAAACTTTTGATGATGAAAAATATATTACAATCCGAAAAAAACATGTGCCCTAATTAAATCCAAATGGCAACAATTCAAAAAGTGTTACTCACATTTTTCAATAACTGGAAGTTACAGAGATTTTTTCATTTTGTGCTTTCAGCAACAATAAAAAAATGTAAAAAATTCACAATTTTTTGAAATTTTCATGGTTAAAAGAATCGACATGAAAATAGGTAAATTATTGAAAACTTTAGTAGTCTTCATTTGTTTTTCATTGTGAAATATGAATTTTTGACAAATCAAATTTTCGAAAAGTTTTTTAATTATAATTCTTTCAGTATTAAAGAAAAATGGTTCACTCAAAAAAATTATAGTTCCTGAATATATTTCTAACATATGGATCCATAAATAAAATGCGTGCTAGTACTTTAAAAATTTTCATATTTGTGTCATTAAATCGTACGGTTCCGTGGATTTGCCCACATATAAATTAGACTTCGAGAGAAAATTTTTGTTTCTTAAGACAATTTTTTTGATTTACTCCGCGACTAAAAAATGCACCAGCTAAGATTCACCAATCACGAAAATAAGAACAAAAACTTTCTTTAACATTATTTAGCGACACTATTTTATTTATTTTGACAGCTAATTGGCAAGAAATATATTTGTATTTATCAGCAACAGCGCCAATCTCCTCCAATTGGCAGAATCGCGAAACGTCTTATGACATATATTACCTACCAAATGGCTGTAAAAATCAATAAAATAGTGTTGATGTGTTATGTTAAAAAAAGTATTTGTTATTTTCGCGATTGTTTAATCTTAGCTGGTATATTTTTTTAGTGTTTATTTATTCTCTAAATGATATTTGCATTCTTGTTTGTTATTTCCGAGGAAATTTCTTAAAAATTTTCGTAAAAAAATATGCTCATATTTAATTTATCGTAGTTAATTTTTTTTCATTATTTTAATTCAAAGAAAGTTTTAGCAGGTGTATTTCTTGACAATAATCAATTATCCTGAAGAACAAAGCATTTTATTTTCTTGTTTTCAAGTGAATACTGTAAAAAATTTTACAAAATTTTAGTTTCGATATAGGTGGTTCTGCCTTACTAGGGCCTACTCTTAAGGGGTTATACCTGGTCGGGCGGTCGGAAAAATGCAGTTTTTTGGGATTTTTTTTTGAAAGACAAAAAAAATGAGTCTCGCGGTGACCAGCATAACTTCTGGGAGAGTCATCTGAATTCAAAAAATAAAATAGATTCTGTTAGTTTATGAGAAAATGTAGTCGTTGATCGAAAGAATTAAAAAAATATCACTTTTTCACAAAATTGCACTTCTTAAAAAAAATTTCATTTTCATGAAAAAAAATCGTTTTAAATTGTTGATTAAATTAATAATTTTAATTTTACTTAAAAAAAACCTTCGATCAACAAAAAAAAATGTAGTTGTTGAGCTTGTGTTAAAATTTATACCAAATCGGTTCAGCGGTTTTTCAGTTATTGTGGTCACCGACTATAAAACGTAGTTTTGAGAAAAACGAGTTTAAATTAGTTTCACAAACAGTTTACATTGAGTATGTAATAAATGTGTGATATAATAAATATGTGATATTGGAAGGCAAGGGAACGAATGCCTCTTGAATATATACTCAGTTATACGAAAATTGTTAAGTAAAATATAATATACAGGACAAAAAAATCAGATTTCTATAGGAGTTACCGATGCTTCACCTACTCTACAGCGCCTCCTTGCTAATTATTGCTGTAACTTCAAAAATATTCCTCGAATCTTAATAAAAAATTTTTTCATAACAGTCAAATACATATACTTTAAGAAGCTGCAAAAAATCGATTTTTTAAATTTCCTGACTAGGTATAACCCCCCTTAAGGTACTAGATTTTTAAGAGATTCTGCTTTTTGAGCTATTCGTAAAAATTTATCGAAATGCCACTATGTCCAACTTTTCCTTACAATTAGCTTTCTTTGTAAAACTTATCAAGTAAATTTTCTACGTGTGGTAGTCACCTTAATTTCGAAACAGATATACGATTCCATAATTATAAACAGAGTTTGAAATCTTTGTCCACATTTTCGACTTTTAATTCTAAAACCCTATAACACTTCTGAAAAATTTGATACAATTTTTCTACTAACTTTATTTGTTAGACTATTCTGAAATTGCTTTGTGAAAATACCGCAAAGAAGAGAATTTTTAAGTCTAAGTAAACTATTTTAAAAATATATTGTTATCTGTCTGTAACACGTGCATAAAATAAGTACAATAGCTGAAAGTTAAAAAAGTATTTAATTATTCGACAACTAACCTTAGAAAAGTGATTATCACCCAATTTAATAAACGGCGTAGTAGGAAACATTCGTTTAGGGCTCATTACTAAGGAACCATTGTTTAAAGCATATAAGTTACTCATAACTAATAACAAATCAGAAGTTTTCTTCACTGGCAAGAATCTACTCCGTGGAACACGAATACCTGAAAAAATGTTCATCATATATTTCATTATTGAAATTTAAAGATATATTTTTCACATTAATATTTTGCAAATCGCACTGGAATCGCTAATTTTTAGCTTAGGCAGCTAATATTGAGCTGACACAAAAACATGTTAGCTATGAAAACTAATTATTAGTTGTATTAGCTAACAATAATTGCTATCCATATAATAACAATTGGGGTCAGCTACCCTATCAACAATTCCCAGAACGGAATCTATATAGGAACTGATATAGGAAAATATATAGGAACTGATATCGGTTCCTATATGAGAGATTCATTTTCAATCGCCCCAGCCCAAAAAGTCAATGTTCTGGGATTGGCTTCATACTTTGGTAAATTGTTGTCCTATATGATAGTAATAAATCTCTTAAATATAAACGCATTAAAAAACTATTTGTAGAAAGTAGAGGGGGTTGAAGTTTTGACATTAAGGGTAACATTGTCATTTTCAAATCCGTATAACTATGACAAAAGTTAATGGATTTTAATTTATCTATAATGAATTTTAATGCATTTTTCACGTACTTTTCAAAAATGTAGACGAAATTTAAAAAAAAATTTTGACCCCTTTTTTCAAAATCAACCCTTGTTTTTCGATTTTAACCCCTTCGGGTATTTTTTTTATTTTTTTTTTAAATTTCATTGAAAAGCTGAGGTTTTTTCCCATGAGCTATGTAAATACGAAAGTGGGACAACAATAATTTTGTGAGAAACATAATATTAAATTAGGCGGTGCCTACCTAAATCCTCAAAGATGATCTCCAGGTATACCCCTTATCGGCACCGCCTACTTTAATATTCTGTTTCTCACAAAATTATTGTTGTCCCATTTTCATATTTACATAGCTCATGGGAAAAAACCTCAGCTTTCCAACGAAAAAAAAAAAAAAAAAAAAAAATACCCGAAGGGGTTAAAATCGAAAAACAAGGGTTGATTTTGAAAAAAGGGGCCAAATTTTTTTTTTAAATTTCGTCTACATTTTTGAAAAGTACGTGAAAAATGCAATAAAATTCATTATAGATAAATTAAAATCCATTAACTTTTGTCATAGTTATACGGATTTGAAAATGACAATGTTACCCTTAACGTCAAAACTTCAACCCCCTCTACTTTCTACAAATATTTTTTTAATGCGTTTATATTTAAGAGATTTATTACTATCATATAGGACAACAATTTACCAAAGTATGAAGCCAATCCCAGAACATTGACTTTTTGGGCTGGGGCGATTGAAAAAGAATCTCTCATATATGAGATTATATCGGAACCGATGTCGGGAATTGGGACAAGATCGTTTTTAAAAAATTTTGTCCGACATTTTGGAATTTATTTTAATTTTGCTTATTTTTTAAAAATAACTTCAAATTTATAATTAGCCACCCAAAAAACCCCCGAGAAAAAGTTTCAAGCTATCTTGATCGATTTTTATAAATTTTGACCGCCATTTTGAATATGCCATTTTGAATTTTGGAAACTAACATCAAATTTGCATTCAGCGACCCCGAAAATTGTTGTATGAGGTGTTTTAGATTAAATAGAATTCTTTCGGACGTTTAATTCACGAATTTATTTTTAAATTTGCGAACTTACTGCCATTTATGCGCCATATTGAAGTCGCCATTTAAAATTTTCAAAAACGCCACTCGACATTCGAAAGTATAGGAATTTACGAATTGTTTAAGCCCTAGAACATTGAAATCCGTCAAAACCATTTTAGGGCAGAAGCCTGTCCTTGTTGACGTGGAACGTCCCATATATATATAATATAGAATGTATTTGAATTTTAATTCTTCGCGGAGAATTTTATGAATTAAAAAATACTTTCATTACAATGTCATGGAAGGCGGCAATTTGACAAAACTGATTTTTTGCACCTATTTCTTAAAAAAAAATTTCATTGCCTATTTTTTTATGCACAAAATTAGTGAATCGCCATTTTTAAGTATTTCAACGCCCTCGAAAGAAAAAAATTGCACGACCGAGATGAAACTCTGCATGGATAGAGAGTATAGTTCACTCGTATACTATTTTTAAACGATAATCATACCAAGACTTCCTCCAAATGATTTCATAGCTGCCCCTACAGCCGTTTCTAATTGAATAAAATTTAAGCCAGTATCAGAAGTCTTCTCATTGACAATTATTTCCAAGTTCATGTCAGTAGAATTTAAAACTCTATCAATTGCTGAAACAAGAATATAAAATTAGAAAAATAACGAATAAAATTACATAGTCAAATTTGTGTTGAAAAATAAATTCATTCATTAAATTTTAATGATTTAAAACGTAATAAAATAGTTTTTATTTAATTTTCTGTAGCATTTATTTTTTATTTAAGGAGTTACATGGGTCAAAAAGAAAAAAAAATAGAAATTAAAAGAAAAATATTTCATAGCATAACATGTCAACAATAATTTCCCAAAGTTTGAAGATAATTTGAGTAAAACTCGATGAAAGAGAGAGAATTTTCGAAGACACTTTTTGTTTCGACTGGCACCTAGTGCAATTAATTTTTAATTACTTAGTCCGCCATATTGGATCCGTCATTTTTAATTTTGAAAAACTGACTCACCTACTAATAGAAAATATTTGGATTTTTGATAAAGCAGTCATTAGATATCATGGCTACAGCAAAATCACTTATTTTGTAAGGGGTCTCATAGAACCTATGCCATTGGCTTAATTTTTAATATTTACTAGCTAAAACAAACGCGCTTTTTTTCTTCTGTTTTATGATCGTAATTTTAAACATCATAAATGTAAACATGTTATTTTATTCATTTACAATATTATTTATTTAACATTTCAACAGAAAATAAACAAAAAATTGTAGGAAAAAGTAGTATGAACCGTTGGATCGTAGAAGGGCTCGTTAATTGATTTCGTTCAAAAGGGAAGTCCCCCGTCAAGGAGGGACCGTCCAGAAATTAGAGGGAATTGAATAGTGAGAAGGCGACCCTTGGTGGGAAGAAATGACCACCAGTGGAAGCGGAGGAGTTAAGTGCTCGCGTGACTTTTATTAAGAAACGGTCTCTCCAGTTTCTTGAGGGAAGAGGAATCTGGAGTAAGGAGGCACCCTACCGAAAGAGTGGTACTGGAATGGTACTGAATTGGACTTTGCTTGAATTCCACTTCAGTACCACTACCTGATAACCCATAAGAAGACATTTTTAAAGTACTTTAACAATAGTTTTAAAGGTATATTATAAGATCAACAAACCGTCTCTCACGATATACGTGTAAAACAGCAAAAAAAACATAATAGTTTGTAGAAAATTTCTTTTAAGTTTGGAAATTATATTGCAATCCCTCCTTGAACAATAGACCCCTAGGTCCTTTGTTGAAGGATTAAAATTTTAACCCGAGTTTTATTGCTTAAAAAATTTATAATTTTAATAACTCAACTTTAAAAAATATATATTGAGATATATGCCAAAGGACATATCATATGCATAATAATGTATGAAAATAATATGAATCCAGGAAAAACAAATATAATATTGAAATAAATATAAAGTATTAGTTTAAACATATTGAAAAAGCTAGTCGCTTTTCACTTTTATGAGGGTATTAACGGTAACTCGATCCTTTTCGCAGATAAATTTCCCAGTTCCATTTCAGTACCAAAATGCACCAAATTAGTACTGAGCCCTCAGTTCCAATTTTCCAGAAACAATCCAGTACCACCCTTCCGACAGGGCATCAGCTTTTAGCCCCTCTAATCCAAGATGTTTACGCCGTGTCGATGGATGAATAATACCAGGGTCACCAAATTCATTTTGCTCGTGTGGAGGGCTGGCGCGGACGTGGATCGGCTTTCAGACTGGAACAGGTTAGCACTCGTAAATCTCAGGGGCGACTGTATCGGGATAGGTTGACTTCTGGATGCTCTGTCGCTCTGCGGGATCGTGATGAAGTTATCGCAAACGGAGACTCTGAGACACCAAACGAAATCTCAGTAGTATCTAGTCTTGTACTTGTACAAGGAGCTCTGTGAGAACGGACCTTTTGTACCCCTGTACTCGTGGGATCTAAATGGAAACAACAGACGAAAATAAGAACAAAAGTGTTTCAACTGACAATACAGAACTCTTCGTAGAGTTCAGGGTTATATATTGCCGCAGGAAGAAAGGGCACCTTCAGCCTCGGTAATATCGCGTCAGGACGATATGGGACCTGAAAGGGAACCATTGAATTCTGGGGTTTTAATACCAAATAGTTGGGAAACGTCGCAGGGAACCACTGTTCCTGTGGTCGAAGACCTAATGGCGAGCTTATCCGTTAAAGGTAAAAAGCTTAGTGGCAGCGCAAGAAGGAGGCTTAGGGAGCAGAACTAATAAGGGTCCTTTCCTAATTTTTTTCAACTTCTATGCCTGACAATGATAAAGCTGGGTCTGCCAGTTAGGGCACGAAAAAGCGTCCGCGCCGACAGGACTCAGACGCTTCTTCACAGCAGGAGAAGAAAAAGACGCAGTGACCCCCGTAGCAACCATCTCATTCTCCCAAGTGTCCAGATCGTCTCTATCTGGAGCGATTATTGCGGACGGCTACCCGGAGGTAGGACTGTCTCTGGATCAGCTGGGGAAGTTGATGTTTTCAGGGTAGTCATGTTTAACGAGATCACGAGGACCACGACTGGGAGGACACGACGATCTTAATTGAGTGTCTTGACTCTGATTCTCGGGAGTGGTTGAATGTCCACGTCCCAAATATCACACAGACAATTGAAGGTCTGGCACTTAAAGTGATAATTCCTTTTAACCTCATGAAGACAGTTAGGGCGGTAGCTTGGGTACCAGGTCCCAAGGTGGATCAAGCTGCAATCCTGGTAAACCTCAGAAAACAGAATCCTGGGGTGGATGTAACCCGTTGGAGGTTGTATTCAGGAGGCGAGATGAAAGACTCAGACGTAGTTTCTACGGCTGCAGGCTGGACAGAACGGATCCGGTGAGTTGTGGACAAGGCACGGGAGGGGAAGCGACAGAGGATGCTGCAGATCAGTCCTAATTTGTCGGGCCACGGTATTCAGTGTTCGCAGATTAACTTGCATCACTGTAAAAGCGCAACGGTGATTCTAGCAAAGGGCTTGACAGCAATAAGCTGTTAGTTTTAATTTATTAAAAAAAATTTTTTTTTTTATGCACACAGCTATTGCATTTATTCAAAAACCTTGGGTTTACAAGGGTAAGATTAGAGTACTGAAAAACTGTGGGGAATTAGTATGTTCACCACAGAAATTGGCACCCAGGGCGTGTGTTACATTCTTACCTATAAGCGAGTAAATGCGTTTCTTCTTTTAGAGTTAACTAGTCGAGATGTGGCAATTATAAAAGTCATGTATCGAGATAAAAATGGAAGTAAAAAGAGTTGGTTCTCGCCTCAGGTTACTTTCCGGGATCAGAAAATGAACCTTCACCACCAGTGAAGTAATAAGACTAGTGGAGTACTGTCATCAGAAAGGTGCATACGGCTGGAGAAGTTTTTGCGAAGGTATTGAGAAGGTATAAGAAGCATCAAGACTTCATAAAATTCTGGCTAGGGGTGCTACAGATAAGCTATCTACAATAAAGCTACCTAACGGACGTTTCGCCCGTGACAAAGCTAATTGTAAGTGACTGAGTCATTTTGTGGAAGTTAACTTCCCAGACTTCAGAGAATCAGAGCAGAACAATGGTGATTGGAATCCAGGTAAATCTCGACTTGGACAAGAACATTGGAAACTAGCATCTGACATCGTGACTCTGAAAAGAATTGATTGGGCCTTAGGCTCGTTTAAGCTTTTTAAGGCACCACGGGGGACGGCATATATCCAGTTCTCTTGCAGAAAGGATTGCAATATGTTCGTCTACCCTGAGGCATGGAAAGTGACTAGGATGGTGTTTATTCCGAAGGCCGAGCGAGCTGGTTATACGGTAGCCAAAGACTTCCGACCGATTAGTTTAACCTCCTTCAGCCTTAAGACGTTAAAGAAACTAATTGACACATTTATCAGACAGGAATGTCTGATAAATCAACCCCTACATCCAGGAGAGCATGTCTATAGAGCAAGCTATACTGTAGAAACAGCTCTTCATTTTGCGATAAACAGAATAGAGGAAGAATTAGACTCAGGGGGTTATGCGGTGATCCCTTTCCTAGATTTAGAGAGTGCTTTCCCTAACACTTGTAGTCAAACAATGTGCAATGCTGCTAGAAGATATGGCATACCAGATCCATTGATTTGGTGGATGAAAGGTATGCTTCATAATAGAGCCTTGGAACCACGCCAATTTTTGGGGTGGGTTTTTTGCTGGTAAAAGAACCTCTACACATTTTAACGGTCAAGAAAGCTGCTATCACTATAAGCAGACTTCAAGCACAGGGGAAATGGAAAGCTAGAGGAAAACTATATTGAAGAGGGGAAAGGGAGAAGAAAAGAAAGAAAAGAAAAAAGAAATCAGTATGGGACAAGACAGAATGGTCAATAGAGTGAAATTCAAAGCTCGCTTTAAGACTATTATTCCTTTCAGAAAGGATTGGGAAAAAAGCTGTCCACTTAGAGGTGAAGTATGGTATACGGATAAATCCAAGATGGAAAACGGCATAGGTTCGGGTGTATACTGTAAGTCCAATGTCACTAAAGTGACATATTTTTAGGTAATTACACCACGGTTTGGCAGGCGGAGATCTGCGCTGCAAAAGAATTAATATATGTGTCGATAGTCAGGCGGCTTTAAACGCCTTAAGTAATCCGACTATAGAAACAAAACTAGTTTGGGAATGCCGGAAGGTATTGGACGAGCTAGGTTTGAAAAATAAGCTCTCATTAATCTGGGTACCACGACACTCGGGAATAAGAGGAAATGAAGAAGCGGATATCTTAGCCTGTAGAGGGTCTGAGATGACTATGGTAGACCCGGAACCGGCGATAAGCATTATGCTAGGCGCGGTGAAAGGGTCCATGGAAAGATGGTCTAAGGGATGTCATAACAGAGTGGACAGATACTACTGTAGGTATACAGGCCAAGGTTCTGTTATTAAAACTCAACAGGAGCTTCGCCGAGTCCCTTCTGAAACTCAACACGATCAGAGTGAGAGCAATGTTTAAGCTGCTCACAGGACATGGCCTCCTAAACTATCATTAGCACAAAATAGGTAGAAACGTCTCATCTAGGTGTAGAATGTGTGATGCAGAAGAGAAATCTT